AAAAGGGATTATATGGCTTTTTGCGGACATATCGGTTTTTGATGACCTTGTAGACTATGCCTTATCCCAAAATGGATTGAATAGGTTCTGTAGGATACTGCTAATTAATTATCAACAAAAATATTTACATTATTTGTGCATAGAATGCTTAAAACATCGCAATAAAACTACCATTCAAAACCATTGTGAACAAATGCGGCAGCCTCCGTTCAAGTGAAGTTTTCTTGCACAAATGTTGGACTGATATATCGAAATGTTCTGTTCCACGTGATGCTTCGGATCTATTCTGGATTATTCACTAGGATATTGCAGACCCTCAAAGCAAGATCTTGGATTTTTTTAATTATTTCTTCAAAAAGAGACATTTTTGGGGTAGTTGTTTTCCGTTGCCTGTATTACCACATGCAAAAGTAATATAGAACTTCTTACTAGCTCCAGTAGATAGAAGAGAGTCTGAACAATATCACCAAGCTTAGTTTAAGCTTTGATGATAGATTTGTCTTACAAAAATTGTTGTTGATTTAAAAAATCGAATTCTTTTTTTTCCATTTTTCGATAAAAACTAGAGGTTGGTCTCTGTCAAGCGCTGTAACTTATAGGTCCGTGAACGGATTCGTCTGAAATTTTTCCAGTAGTCTAGAGACAGATGGTACTTTTAAAAAATAAAGAGATTTTTTATTAGTGACACGACCTGGTTGTCAGGCCAAAGACTTATTGAACCACCAAATATGTACGATCTCACGTTTCACATTCGGCTTTGAACGAAGGGAACTTGATTAACCGTTATAATTACGGTGCATTAATTCAAACTTTTGAGCAGAAAGATAGTTTGAAAAGCTGTGTGATGAGAAAAAAAGACAAAATATTTTCCAATTAATTAAATTTTACTCTTATTACTTTGAATTTTGTTATTTGTTGAAAAAGAGATAAGATTTTTTTTAATGAAAAAGATGACAAGAACGTGGAGACAAAATAAGCACTTATGGTGAAAAAAAAAACAGATAATAAATTCGAATAGCGACAAAACATACTGGCGATGGTCTTTTTATTATAACTATAAGATTTTATTTGATTCCCATAAATATTATATTTGGTTTTCGTCAAAAACAAAGCCTTGTTTTTTTTTCGTTCGTAAAATGTAATGGTTAAACTAATAAATTGTTTTTCGACCATAGTTGATAGCGAAGGTTCCTAGGGACCTTCTTCTCCCCAAAATATTTTTGAGAACCCTCAACAATTTTGGAAATTATAAGGACCTTTTTTTCTCTTTACTTTTTTTCGCCGAAAAAATTCTTTCGATCTGCTCAAGATTTTCGCCAAAAAAGTGAAGAGTAAAAAAGGTCCTAATTAGACTGGCCCCCAAAGAACAAAAGTTGAAATTTTTTCGCTCTCACCCCGGAATACTTTCCATATGGTGGGCAAATAACGTGTGTAAATTTTCACGCCGATAGCTCAACGCTAGATAGTGCCGCAAAAGCTAGGTAGGTCATTATGTGAATTTATTGAAAAATGACAATTTCAGTTAATATATAAATATCTTCGCACAACCATATCGACAAAAAATGATGGTAATCGTCATTTTCCATCAAACACTTGCCACTGGTGATGAAAAAAAAACACATTTCAATGCAAAATTTTCATTCCAATTTTATGATCAAAAATGAAGGTTTTGTACCAAAGATACGATAGACCTCCACAAATTAATCTCATTCGAAGTTAGAATACTTTAAGAGCAAAACTAATGTGATTCCACTTTGGTATACACCCATTTGAATGCATCGTATGCTGGAACAGTGTCATTTGCATAGCACATTGTGAGCAATGAACGTTGGGCCAAAATACGAATATGAAACATGATTTTGCCGCACTATAATTCACTTCCAAACATATTTCAATGACTGAATTCGATCAATTTTGACTGTATAAACAATATGGACTATTCGAGTTCAATTTTTCAAAATGTTATGTTTAATAAGCACTATTCCAGGTAGTGCTAACGACATATACCTATAATATGCAACAAATTCATCAAAACATTCTATTTTATACATTTTAGAATTTTTAAAAATGCATTTTGACCCCATAATATTAACAGAAAGTAGGTTCTCAAGTCTTAGATAAAATTTCGCGCTCTAGGCTGTTGAAGAATTTTGTGGAAAAAAACTTTTCTAAAAATGTTGTTGGAACGAATTGAAAAATATCATATATTTTCATTTGAATTGTACGTTTATATCAGGATTATATTTTGCAGTAGGTCTTTTTAATGGTAGTTTGGTTTTCAGGTCACATTTATGATTTCGTATTTAACATACCTCGCATTGAATTACCGCCAAATGTATTTCCAAGAACTGGACGTTGATTTATTTGATTTAATCCAGAATTCATCATACCCTGACTAATACCTGAATAATTTGAATGTTTTGAATATATTGACTGTTTTCAACTTTTATTATGAAACAGATAGTTATCACCCATTTGACACACGCTGAAGATTATTTGAACTATCTCCACTCAATTTCCAATTCAAATTACTTCAATATGTTAACAGAGGTACTGCTTTATCATTGGAGAAACAACTTACCTATGGAACCGATTTCACGTGGAGGTGGTGGTGGCCCTTTCGCCCCTGGTCCTGACGGTTGATTATGACGCTGAGTTGAAGTTGATGAAGGGATTGTGGTATTTGAGTTTCTTTGTGCATTCTGACCACTCGTACTGGCTGTTCCGGTTGAATTATTATATTGTTCTGGTGCTTCTGTTAAGAAATTCGATGGGACCAACCCTCGGACTCCATCCAATTCCCCCATATAAAAGCCGTCTTCGTCCATTTCGCCATATACAAGTATTACTTCTCCAGTCTTAAAACATAATTCCACTTGCTTTTATGCGTGTATATTTTGTATGACCGTTTTTTAATACGCACATGTATCCATTTGAGAAAAATAAGATAAATAAGATAATATTTCAAGTTTCAAGGAATATTTTTTCATGATCCGCCTTCAAACGTATAGTTTCTATGTGAAAGTGTAAGATTTTGTGTGTATTTGTGTATATTGGCGAAATCTGAGAGTATGGTTAAATATAGAATAAATGAACGTACTTCGGCGTCAACGTTTGGACTCAGTTCTTGTGGATCGTAATCATAAAGTGCGATCATTCGCTTCACAGGCATATTGCAATAGATATCTCCCCAGCGATCACGGCTAACATTGCGCACACTTTGTTGAAGACCACTAATAGAACCAGTTGGAGGATTCCTGCTACCACCACTACCAGTACCAGTCATATTTGCTCCTTGTTGCGTGATTTGGTTATCATCAATCTCCGATACCATATTATGTGGAACGAAGCCACGTCTTCCTCGTAATTCACCCCAATAAAATCCATCTTGGTCTTTGTCTCCAATTACCTTTAATTTTCATTGAATCAATAATTTTGGACATAATTTTTAAAAATTTGATTACGGTGTTAATAGTGCAAATTTTTTAGTTCTTGTTAACACTCGTTCTCCGTACTGTTTCATAAAGTTTAATTCATTAAAAAAAATTCATTTAGATATCATTTAGGTGTACTTTGAAGAAAAATAGTTAAT